GCGTCTCGGCCCGGGGGGGGGCTGGCGGCGCCGCTCGCGGCTCTCCAGGCCCGTGCCGCGGGGCGTGGGGCCGTGCTGCTGACCTTCTGCCTCCCCTTACAGCCTCCAGTGCGCACTCACAGCTGGACCGCCCCACCACAAACAGCCAGCCACAACCGGCGTCATCCTCCAGCTCCGCGCCTCCCGACACCCGCAGCCCCACACGCCAGACGGGCCCAGAGCGAAGGCCAAGCCGCTCCAGGACGTCCCGCCGCTCCCAAAATCCTTACCGCCGGCCCTGAAGGCTCCGCCGCCCGAGCCGCGGGCCAGCCCCAAGCAATGGCAGCAGCACCCAGCGCCCAGAATAAAACTCTCAGCTGCTCTCCACCGCCCTGCCTGGTGCCCCTTGCCTTCCTTGCTCCTGCTTTGCCTTGCTGGGGGGGCTGCTGGTGGGCGTGGGAGCAGTGGGGCTGTGTTGTCTGCGCCTCTGGGCAACCCCTTGCCCAAGACCTTCCTTGCTCCGCGCAGGCCTTGGCCACGGGGCAAGCAGCTTGGCCATGTGCGTCCGGCCCTGGTGGCCGCAGGAGGCAAAGTGGGCTGAGAAGGAGGGAAGGCCGCTGAGGAGGCGGGCAAGCTTGGTGGCTTTGCAAGGGGGAGAGCGGCGAATGAAGAGCGGAGATTTCTGATGCTGAAGCCTCCCCTTTCTCTGGCCACTGTCTTGGGCCACGCAGTCCCCAAGGCACCTTTCTCCTTGGAGAGAGCAGCAAGAAAGTCTGCAGAAAGGGAGACTTTCCCTCGGTGGAGGAGGATGCCGTTAGGGATCACCTGAGCAAACTGGCCACCCGCAAGTCCATGGGCCCTGCTAGCATACAGCCGTGAGCGCTGAGGGAGCAGCCAGGTGTCATGGCAAGGCCACTCTGAAGCACCCTGCAAAGCTCCTGGCGATGACGAGAGGTTGTGCGTCCGGCCCTGGTGGCCGCAGGAGGCAAAGTGGGCTGAGAAGGAGGGAAGGCCGCTGAGGAGGCAGGCAAGCTTGGTGGCTTTGCAAGGGGAAGAGCGGAGATTTCTGATGCTGAAGCCTCCCCTTTCTCTGGCCACTGTCTTGGGCCACGCAGTCCCCAAGGCACCTTTCTCCTTGGAGAGAGCAGCAAGAAAGTCTGCAGAAAGGGAGACTTTCCCTCGGTGGAGGAGGATGCCGTTAGGGATCACCTGAGCAAACTGGCCACCCGCAAGTCCATGGGCCCTGCTAGCATACAGCCGTGAGCGCTGAGGGAGCAGCCAGGTGTCATGGCAAGGCCACTCTGAAGCACCCTGCAAAGCTCCTGGCGATGACGAGAGGTGCCTGAGGCCTGGAAGAAAGCCGCTGTC